TTCAGACTCATTGGGTCCCTACGGAGCAAAGTAGAACTAACTGATCTTCACAAAAATAGACAAGCTCATCTTTCTCCTGTGCAGTGGCTGGTAGGTTCCACCTGCCAGCCCTGCAGTTTGCAGCCCAATGCTTAACTCATTGTCCCACCAGGACTAATTGAGAATAAAGCTCCTCAAATCAAAATGTACGAACATCACCTGAAACCCAGTCCAAACACATTGCCATTGAGTTGATTCCAACTCACAGCAATCCTATCAGGCACTCTGAGGAAAATGAAGATTCTGGTGAATGGGGAGGGCGCTAGGATTTGGCATTTCAAACAAGTGAGATTGGTGGTCCGCAGACTACACTTTGAGTAACAAGCTATAGAAGAATAGCTTGAGTATGATAAGATTTGAGGCTAATTCATGGGGGAATTATTATGGTACAAATTATGGGAGGACTGATTTATTCTCTGAAGGCTCTAGAAGGACCTTGTTATCACTTGTCTGTCAGTTTGTCATACTGTCTTGGCTTGTATTGCTATGATGCTGGAACTATGCAATGAGTGTATCAAATAATAGTAGGGTCACTGGTGAATAACAGGTTTCAGTGGAACTTCCAGACTAAAAGTACACTAGGAAGAAGAAACAGATGGTCCACTTCTAAGGGATTAGCCTCTGAAAATTAAGGAGTGGCACTGGAATGGGTACAGTGCTAACAATGATGTTCTCAGACACTAAAAATACGACAGGGGAATAGCTGTCTCCTTAAAGTAGATTCAACCTTAATGGTGTATAGTGAGCAAAGCTATCATTATTTGCTGAAGGACACAATTAAAATGAGAAGAAAGAGCTATAAATCTCAATTAATGATTGGAAAGTGAACTGTATGAAGTATGAATCTAGGAAAATTGGAAGTCATTAAAAATGAAATAGATGCATAAGCAAATGCAGTGAAGAAAGCTGATGGTGCCCGGCTGTCAAAAGATATAGAATCTGGGGTCCTATAGGCTGGAAGATAAACAAGGGGCCATCTAACTGAGAAAAAACAAAGCCCATATGGAAGCACACCAGCCTGTGAAATCACAAGGCATCAAAGGGATCAGGTATCAGGCATCAAAGACCAAAAAAAAAAAAAAAATCATAGCATTGTGTATGAGGGGGAGTGCAGAGTGGGGACCCAGGGCTGATCTTGGGAAATTGGACATCTCCTTGCAGAAGGTCTGCGGGGAGGAGATGAGCCACTCAGGGTGCAGTGTAGCAATGATGAAACATGCAATTTTCCTCTAGTCCTTGAATGCTTCCCCTCCCCACCAACTATCATGATCTCAATTCTACCTTACAAATCTGGCTGGACTGGAGGATGTACACTGGTACAGAGAGGAACTGGAAACACAGGCAATCCAGGACAGATGAACCCCTCAGGACTCGTGGTGAGAGTGGTGATACCGGGAGGGTGGAGGGAAGGTGAGGGAGATAGGGTACAAATTACAAGGATCTACATATAACCTCCACCCTGGGGCATGGACAGCGAAGTGGGTGGGGGATGGACAGCGAAGTGGGTGAAGGGAGATGTTGGATGGTGTAAGATATGATAAAATAATTTATAAATTATCAATGGTTCATGGGGGAGGGGAGGGAAGGAAAAAAAAGTACAATGTTTTAATGATGATGGCAACATATGTACAAATGTGCTTGACACAATGGGTGTATGTATGGATTGTGATAGTTGTACGAGCCCCCAATAAAATGATTTAAAAAAATGAAATAGAACTAAAAAAGTCAATATCCTAGGTCTTCGTGAGTGAAAATGGACTTGTATTGGTCATTTTGAGTCAGACAATAGTATGGTTTGCCATACTGAGAATGACAAATTCAAGAAGAATGGCATCACAGTCATCATCACAAAGAACATTTCATGTCTGTGCTGAAGTACAGCCCTGCCTTACAGGATACTATCTACATGACTACCAATAAATCCAGTTAATGCAACTGTATTCAAATGTACGTATCAACCACTAAAGTCGATGATGAAGACACTGAAGAATTCTACCAATTTATCCTGTCTGAAATTGATCAAACTTGCAATTCATATGCATGGATAAATCCTGGTGATTGAAATGTGAAAGTTGGAGAGAACTATGAAAGATCAGTATTTGGTCAATATGGCCTTGGCGATAGAAATGAAGCTGGAGATTGCACCACAGAATTATGCAAGACCAACTTTAGAAAAGAATGGGATTAGTGAAGTAGTATTGCGGTTTCCAAGACAGAAGAAGTACCACACAGGTGAAGCCACACTAACAATATTGACTTTTCTTGACAGTGACAGACATTTGATAGGCGATCTTGAAATAGACACTTGCGTAATCGCAGTTCCTTAGTTACCTCGTCTACAAAGCAGAGCTGATCTGCCTCCCAGGCATAGCCTATGAAAGGGATGGCAAGCATTTCAAATAGAGACATTTGGTTTTTTATGTGTTAAATCCTTGGAAATATATGACTTAACAATATTAGCAGAATTGTATGAGGTACTAGGACAGTGTTTTAAGTCCTTTTCTTCGTGTTTGAGCCTCACAGCAATGGTACAAGATATAGATCTTACCTCCATTTCACAGAATATGAGGCGAGAAAGGCTAAATCCTCCAATGTCAACAAGCAGAATCGGCTTAAAAAATCATCCCATTAAGTGGTATGCGGACCCCATGTACGGACTCCTGTGCTACATCCCCCAGTTCCTGTGCTATGGTAGACATTGCTAGTTGACTGCAGCACTGGTTTTGGAATCTGTCTTGATGGATGATGCAAATGATAAAACTAATGTGCCCTTCTAAAGCTTACATGCTCACTCACTCTTCAGTTTCAACATGATCAGGCTCTACGGAGCAGGTTGTCAATCCAAAGATGGAGGATGATGAAAGGGAGGAGGGATATATTGTTATATAACTCCCAAATTATAGCATTTCACAAAGGCCAAACCCCTAAGAATCATGGCTGAGTCAAGTGAACACCTACCCTTAACAATCATAACAAAATGTAGCCAATGTAACACTCATCTCCCATCTCTGTTCATCACTGCTACACAGACAATATCAATGAGCAAATTAGTTGGATAGTGGATTTTTTACTGTTTTCATACATTCAGAATGTCAATAAGTGGGAAATAGTGGTACTCAGCAACTGTAGTTTCTGTTATTTGTGGCTGCAATTAAATTTTAATTTGGGTTTTTCATCTGACTGCTTTATAATTAAGTATAAAAAGGAGCAGAGGAAAAACTATCTTGGATAAATGAAACCTGGGAAGTACATCATTTTTCCCTCTTTTAGAAAAAGAAAACATTTAAATCTATAAAGACAAAATATCCCCATGACTAAATAGCAGTGCTATTAACACCCTCCACTGCCTGTTCAATGCATAGTCAATGACTTCCTAAAAAGGACAAAGCTCTCCAAATAAATGATGTCACGGAGATACACATAAATGTCCGTGCCACTCAGGGACTCCTCTCCATTGTCTCCAGATAGAAAATTTTCTGTGGTGCAGTTCTGGCTCTAGAAATGTCCATGAGATTAGGGAAAAGCTAAACTCATCTCCTTATTTAGCTCCTTCTCTTACTCTAACCAAATATTCTCACTTCTGGACATGTTTTTCCTAAAAGCCCCAGCCATTAAATCACCTTAATAAAAAGGCACATCCCTAGTGGCATATTCAGTAGTGCCTGTCCTGAAAACAAAATGATATCCCAATAATCTTTGCATTTTCATCAACACCTATTCTTTTATTTCTCTCCTGGAGCAATGGGCTCTTCTCACAAGAATCTAAATTAGGAAGGTAACCTGCCATCATTATCGCTAAACCTTCCCTTAACCTTCTCTTGTGGAAAGAAGAGGTAAATATCAAGCTGCCTTCTTTATTTATCCCACACACAAGAATGAAATTACAAGGCAGAGACGACTCGGGTTCCTCTGAGCATGCTCACTTTCGGAGTGAAATTGCCAAGAGGTCATTTTACAGTGGATAGAGGAAGTCTTAAAGAAAGTCACTTTTGAAACCATGGATTTCACAACACTCACCCATCTTTTCAGGAAGCCTTACCTCATGTGTAGGTTTGAAAGGACACTCTTTGGATCCCGGTCCTTTCTCTAACTTTCACAACTGTAGCTCTGATAAACCCTATCTTCCATAATTCTGATTCAAGATATCTAGGGTTGGACTGCAAAATCTTCATTTTTAAAGACGTCCCAGATGTTTCTCATGATACCTACGTTTAATAGCTGCTGGTTTGTGTGCTTTTGTTCAATAATGCCAGGTCCTTCACTTTTACCTATTGGGTCATCTGTGGGTTTCTTGTTAGAAACAGAGGAAAGATGGAACAAAATAACTTGCGAAGGAAGTGCATGGGATGTGGCTATATGAAAAGCAGGCATACTGCCTTCTTCTATTTTTGTGAACTACCAAAAAGCTGCAAGGAAGAGACCGCTGTATGCTATCCCACACGTCCAGTGGATTTTAGAGAGATGTGAGTGTCCTCCCTTGAACGTGGCCATGAGCGTCAAAGGGAAGAGATAACAACTAAAGTAACTGCAGCGTGAGAAGCCCTGCTTGGAGGAGTATTGAATATGAATAAGTGAACATTTTACAATGTATGATTCATCATTAATCCCATTCCTTTTATTCAAAACAAATGAACTAACAGTCCTCCCCACACAAACTACTACGTGTACTATATTACAAACTGAATGAGAAAAAGCAGTAATATCCCATTCATATTTATAAATGTCACAACGTTCATATTTCTCATCTATTTGGAAAATCACCTCTAGTAATTAAGGGATATAGGGAATTATAAAGATGAAAAATATCAGAAAAACAGTGCACATGGAAGTTAGCAACATTATTTTACTTCCACTCTTACATCTTAATGACTTAATTTTCCATAAATGGTATGTTTTAAATGTAAGAACAAAGCCACCCCCAAACTTCATTATTATTCAAACAACACAAATAGCAAACTTACTCCACAAAGTATCGAAAGTGTTTACTTCCAATGATTTTCACCACCATCTCAGGCATGGCATCTGATCCATAGGGAGTCTTCCGAACAGACAACATGTTCCTTTCATAAGAAAATTCTTCAAATTCTTTGGAATGGGAAAAAAAAAATCAATCATTCTTCGGGATTTTTTTCACCAGGCAACTGCAGCCTCCATGCCAACAACAACAATGATAGTACCATGAACAAGCACTTAATATTTTGAAGTAGGTCAATATGACATTCTTACTTATGATTGTAATTCTTGTTTTAGTTGAGAGATCAGGAAATCATGTCATTTACTCAGTAGTTAGCATGAATGAGAAGTCTACCAAAGACGTCTTTAAAGCCAAATGACTGGGATCTTAGATATTCCTACTTTCCTATATTGTAAGACATTGGGTAGGACACTTGTGAGGTGAAACAGGGCACCAAGACTTTATTCAACTATGTTCAGCCCATATGCTCAGATATGAAATCAGGATAATTCTAGTTCTGTTCTCAGGGGCTGAGTGAAGCTAAATGAGATAACATGGCCCAAGGAGCGCTGAGGGGGGTTTGCTTCACGTCCCCTCTTTCTGCAGCAATCCGAGGAATCAGAAATCGAGATCCTTTACCAGAGGGGCGATGGGTGTTGGAACAGGTGTGCTGTCAAGGGAAGTTTCCAGGTTCTGTGATTTAAGCCACAGTTGGCCATTCCCCTTCAGAGAAACTCAGAGATTGCGAGCCTTTAGCAGCCATTCGAATGCAGAAGTGCACTTCACAGACTGGGCCCCAGAGTTGCTCCCCTACTCTGGTCTGACAGCTAGATCAGCGTCCCTCCCCAGAACCCCGCTTCTCTTCGCGGGGCGTGGGACCTGCCAAGGGAAGCAGGCCCAGCCAGCGGGATGTGCAACCTCTGGGAAGCTGTCTGGAAATCTCTGGTTGTCAGATCCCCCGCCTCTGACCTTCCCTGGGCGAAAACAGCTGGTGGCCTTACCGCGAAGGAGGCGTTTCCCCAGCCAGGCAGCTGAGTCCTGCAGTCTGCGCTTCTGCCCTGGAACCCACGCACCCAAACCTGCCCAACCTGCCCGGGCTGGGGGCGTGGGCTTGGGAGCCTGGTGTCCGGCCAATCACCGGGCTTGACTCGCTGGAGGCAGCGGGTCCCTCTGGGTCGCTAAGGACGCAAGGGCTGTTGCTGGGCGGGCCCAGGTTTCTATTCACCCTGGGAGAGGCAGGCAGGGCCTTTTGGCAGTTCTCAATTGTGGGTGGCGAACCCTTTGGGGGTTGAAGGACCCTACAGGGGTCGCCCGATTCATAACAGTAGCAAAATGACAGTGATGAAGTAGCAAGGAAAATAAGTTTATCTTGGGGGTCACCACAACATAAGAAACTGTATGAGAGGGTCGCGGCAGGAGGAAGGTTGAGAACCACTGCTAGGGTTTATCCGCAGACCTAGTCTGAGTGTTGTTAAATTCTTGCCTCACTGCTTCCCCGGAGATGAGAATATTTTTCATGAAAGGATCTACCTCGCCTTTGTGGTCACGCGTATTCCCGCTTTCTCTTAAACACAAATTCCCGTTTTAACTGGTGCATAAGCCACCTTTTCAAATCCAGACTTCTACACTGTGATTTTGAGCAAATCCCTTCCATTCCTTTTCAGATACCTCATTTGTAAAATGCAGACAAACAAACACAGGTCTAAAAAAAAACGAGTTAATGATGGACTAGATTCAGAATGCATTGTGGGATGTGCTAAAGACTTTAGAGGTGGTTAAGGCTATTTGAATAGCTTCTAAATGGCTTTACTTTCCATCATCCTCATCAACTCATTAACATTAGCATTAGCATTAGCACTAACACTAGCATCAGCTGCAACAGTAAAGGCAGCAGTAGCTACAGCCTTAGCACCCACACCGACTGACTCGCCCTTAGCTGCACTGTGTTTTGTAGGTTAGTGTACCATCGCCCACCTCATGCATCCAGAGGTGGAGCAGACAGTCACTGTCCCCCAAGGGCTCACTCTCTAATAAGGAAACATAGTGACGCGTTGTAAAGATACAGAGAGAGGGATGGCTCCTACCACATTACTGCCACCTCAGTCTGCCCAAGCAGGGATCTGACATGCCCCTCCTCTGCTCAGATGCTACATGACAGATTCATGCAGGCTCATCAAGTAAAATGAAGGATTTTTCTGCCTTCAAGGTGTTCCATGCTCAGGCCTCCAGTTAAATCTCTAGCATGGGTTCCCACTACTTCTCACAGCATGTTTTTTTTTTTGCTCCATCCAACCTGGTCTACTCAGTAACCTCAGTCTGTGCTGACTTGCCTGTCATGTGCCTTAGCTCTTTCTGTTCTCTCTGTGTGAAATGTCTTTCCATCTCCCTGTTTGTTAGCCTGCTTATCTGCTCTTTACATTCCACGCCAAGGATATGGGTGCACGTAGGAGGGAGACACCCAGGCTTCAAATAGAGCTCGGTGAGTGCCATGTGTTGTTGAGCAAGGCTTTTAAAAATTATGTGTCTCAGTTTCGTTGTCAATGAAATGAAAATGACTTATTGTGAAGCCTAAGTGCAAGACATGTGAACCAATGACAAGTGAGCTAATAGAAGACACGTTATGCTTCATGCAAAATAATCAATATGAACGTTTCCTGGTTTCATTGTTTTCCAAGGTACAAAATCAGAACCTATACGCTAAAAGTAGTTTCTGTACCCTCTGTGTCACATGTGGATTCTTTAAAAAAGAAAACAAAACCGTTTTATTGGCATTTAATCCACATATCACACAATTCAATAGTTCAATCATGACAAGAGTTGTGCAATCATTACCACAATTGATTTTCGAACATTTTCTCCCCCTGACCCTGGTTTCTTTTTAAAAAGTGCATTAATCATTAACTGATAGAGTGGATGTTTGTTAGCTTGTCTTGTCACAACTTCCTGGACCATGCTTGTGGTGGGTGAGTAATCTTTACATATGTAAGCTGTGAATATTGCAGCATATGGCTACAGGTGTGATGAGGATATGATTCAATTAAGGATTTTGAGATAGGATAGTATCTGGATTGTCCTGTTGAATCTTAACTGTAATCATTGGTATCCTTATAAGAGGCAGGGGGACATTTGACTAAAGAGGAAGAACTAGGAGCTTTGGCAAAAGAAATACAACTTTGGAGTTACTGCCATGAGAAGTAGTTAGTAAAAAAATGTGCATGAGGTGTCCAGATGGTGGAAAAGGTAAGGACATAAATTCTCCTCTCAAGATTCCAAAAGGAACCAACCCACTTATTTTTAAATTTATCCCATGGAAACAGATTTGGGATTTTTGATTCCCAGAAGTGCCAAATTTGTGTAGTTTTGAATCATTACATTTGTGGCTCACTACATGTCTTTCAGAAGGTCTTATTGTGGTGGCTTGCGTGTTGCTATGAAGTAGCTTTGTTACTGCTATTTCAAATGCCAAAGGGGTCACCCAAACTGAATAAGTTTCAGCAGGGTTTTCCAGACTAAGAACAGACTACAAAGAATGAATAGGCTGTCCGCCTCTGAGAAACTAGCCATGGAGAACTTTATGGATAGAGTCAAAACATTGTCAGGTCCTGAAAACCTCATAAAAAGAACCAGACAGAATATCATCAGAGCTAAGGTCAGATGATGAGCCCCTGCAATCGGAACCAACCAAAGCACATTTACTGCAATTGAGTCAATGCTGACCCATAGTGATGCTCCTGTGGGTTTCTGAGACTATAACTGTTCACAGGAGTAAAATTGCCAGTCTTTTTCCCGAGGAGCTTATGGTGGTCTTGAACTGCTGATTATGATGATTGCAGCTCAATGCATAACCACTACACCACCAGGGTTCTGAAAATATTGTTGAGGGAGATCTGTCTGTTCAATGCAGAGTTGACCATAATGAAAAAGATGGCGTAAAGCCTTGAAGTAAGGCCTTTGAGGCCTTCATTTGCTGATGGGGCATGACCCCAAATGAGAAGAAATCACTGCACAAATTAATCAACAATCAGAACATGGATATTTAAGTTATAGTCTAGAAATCTTGGAAGTTGCAAACAATCTATGGAAAAATCAACATTTGGGGCATAGTGAGCTAAAATGTATTGATATTGACCATGTTGAGTCAGAAAAATCACATGGTTTACTATGCTGGCAATGAAACAATTGAGAAGAATGAGTTTTCATTCTTCGTCATAAAGGACATTTCAAGATCTATCTTGAAGTACAATACTATCTCTGATAGGATTATATCTATCTGCTGTCAAGGAAATCCAATCAATACAACTAAGATTCAAGTTTATGCACCAACCACAAAAGCTATTGATGAAGAAACTGAAAAATTCTACCAAGGTCTTCAGCCTGAAATTAATCAAACCTGCAATAAGATTTATTGGTAATTATTGATGATTGGAATACAAAAGTTTGTGTTGTTTTTTTTTTTTTTGAAATACAAAAGTTTTAAAGAAAGAGGAAGAAACAGTGGTTGGAAAATATGGCCTGGGTGATAGAAATCAAGTCAGAGACTGCATGATAGAAATTTGAAAGACCAACAGCTCCATCTCAAATTCCTATTTTTTCCAACAACACAAAGGACCATCATACATATGGACTTCTCCAGAGGAAATACACAGAAATAAAAATACATCTCTGAGAAGAAACCATGGAGAAGCTCTATAACAGCAGAAAAAATTAAGCCAGTGAAATAGACCATCTATTGCTATATGTAAGTTTAGGCTGAAGCTGAAGAAAATTAAAACATGATCACAAATACGAGCTAAAGTCTAGCCCACTTAAATTTTGAGAACATCTCAAGAACAGATTTACTGCATCGAAAACTAGTGCCAGAGGACCTAATGAGCTGTGGGATGACATTGAGAACATCAAACACAAAGAAAACAAAAGATGATTAAAAAGACAGGAAAGAAAGAAAAAGTCAAAGTGTCCGTGAGAAGGCTTTACCTAAGGCACAGAGAGAAATATTAAAATAAAAGAGCTAAACAGAGAATTTCAAAGGGCAGATCTAGAAATCAAAGTAAAATATTGTAATGAAATATATGGATACCTAGAGTTAGAAATCTCCAAAAAAAAAGTATACACTAAGCATGCCTTGAACTGAAAGAACTCAAGAAAATCTTCAGGCCTGAAGTTGCAATCCTCAGTGTTGCTCTGGGTAAAAATATTGAATGATGCAGGAAGCATCACAAGAAAATAAAAGAATACACAGAGTCACTGTACCAAAAAAGAAGAAATTAACATTCCACCATTCAGGAGGTAGTATTATGAGCAAGAGCCAATGGGCTGAAGGGGGCAATTCAAGCTGCACTGAGAGCATTAGCCAAAAGAAGGCTCTAGAAATTGATGATGAGCCTGATGAAGCTGATGAAGAAGGAATGCATTTATACTTCTATGCCGCAAGTGATCAATATTTGTACCCACCCCAAAGAAAGGTGACCCAAAAGAATGCTCAAATTACAGAACAATTTCATTAATATCACATGCAAGTAAAATTTTTTGAGTATTATCCACCAATGCTTATAGCAATACATTGACAGGAAACTACCAGAGGTTGGACTGGATTCAGAAGAGGACATGGAACAAGGGATCTCATTGCTGATATCAGATGGATCTTGGCTGACAGCAGAGAATAAGAGAAAAACGTTTACTTGTGTTTTAATGACTATGCTAAGCCCTTTGACTGTGTGGACTATAACAAACTAAAGATAGTCTTAAGAAAAATGGGAATATCAAAACACTACATTGTGTTCATGTGGAACTTGTGCATGGAGCAAGAGGCAATTAGGTGACAGAACAAGAGAATACTGGATGGTTCAAAATCAGAAAATAAGTGTGTGTTTCAGGATTGTATCCTCTTACCATATTTACTCAGTCAGTCTGTGTGCTGAGCAAATCATCAGAGAGGCTGAATTGTATAAAGAAGAATGCAGCATCAATGTGCAGATGACACAAGCTTGCTTGCTGAAAATGAGAAGGGTTTGATGCACTTGCTG